CCTGAGGGGAGGAGCTGGTGAGTGTGAGTTTTCTGTGAAGCCAGCAGGAAACAGGTGGGAGGAGCTGTGGCGCCTCCCTTTGGCCACCTAGAAGGCACAGGAGGAGGCAGGTTTGCACCTTTGGGTGTGGGAGGGTGACACAGCTCCCATCTGATGGCTCCTAATTCCTCTGAGGGCCAAGTTGTATATAGAAGATGAAAAAGCAGGTGTGGGCAAATGGGGCGCAGTGGCAGGGATCTGAGGAGACGTGAAGGATTAAAGCAGTCATTGTAGGGAGGACTCATTTCAGAATGCTGGCAACCCACAGTGACCTGCAGTGCTCAGCCTGTGGGTGCCGGAGAGAAGGCGGGTAGCCACAGCCACCCAGGAGGCGGATCCTGCTGGCCAGGAAGCTTAAGGACTTGGCAAGAGTGCTCGAGAGGGACCAGGGGCCTCTGCTCCATGAAGAAAGGAGGAGGGAGAATAAAGGGACAAGAGAAGGGGTCATGACAAGAGAGACTGGTCACATACAGGCTGCTGGTGGAAAAGAGGTTATAGACACAGGACAGAAGAGTCGAATTTAACCAATTCGTTATCATTACTAACCACTCATTAGATCTGAATTATTTATCAGTTCAATTACTTGAATACATTAAGATCAACCTCTGTGATGTGACAAAAGGCTGAGCTTCCCGCTCCATGAAGCATTCTTAGAAACTGGTAACAAAAAGTCCCATAACCCAATGGGAAAAAGAGCTAAACACCTACTTGGCTGGAGACCCCTCCTCCAGGGCGTCCGGGGACTCGTCCACCACCGGGGGCTCCTCCATAGGCGCAGCTGGCTCCATGTCACTGAAAGCAGCAAGAACCATCCCAGTCACACACACTGTTGACATCAATGCTCTCAGATAGTCAAGAGAGAGAAAAACATATTATAATGCCCTTTTCTTAAGTACATATCCTTCAAGGAATTATATACCCACACACAGGTAACCCACATTAAAATAAAAAAGACAAAATGCTCTCAATTGATAATTCATATAAACTATTTTCACAAATGTGAAAGGTACTTTGAGAAATCGAAGTTTCTATAAATGGTCTAAAATTAAAACAGATTATAAAGGACCAGAAGAAATATTCAAAACTCTTCTGAACTCAGAAAATTCCCAATATTAATAGGGGCCATAAAATGGCTTATCTAACTTTTAGAAAATGGTAAAAAAGTAAAAACATTCCACAGAAATAAGTGTGGATTACAAACAAGCTGGTAATAACTATTTGAATTTTAACATATATGACTTTAATTTTTCCTTTTTATGGTAACATTAATCCTATCTAAACATTACTTAGAAACAAATTAGTCCCAGCAAAGAAATTTCATTTTTAGGAAAATGCTAAAATTAGTCAATATATTTGAGGATATAATGTCAATATAATGGACATTAAATATTCATTAGAAATAGTTTACACTCTATGTACAGAACCCAGCTTCAAAAAATAAGCTATTTTTTCTAAAGTAAAGAAATTGAACTGCAATAACAGAATAGACTTTTTAAAATATATATATTTTTTTATTGATTTCAGAAAGGGGGAGGAAGAGAGATAGAAACTTCAATGGAGAATCATTGATCGGTTGCCTCCTGCACGCCCCCTATTGGGGATCAAGCCCGCAACCTGAGCATGTGCCCTTGGACGGAATCAAACCCAGGCCCCTTCAGGCTACAGGCCGACGCTCTATCCACTGACCCAACCAATTAGGGCCAGAATAGACTTTTTACACTAATTTTTGTTGTTGTTAATCCTCACCCGAGAATATTTTCCCATTGATTCTGAGGGAGATTGGAAGGGAGGGGGAGACAGAGAGAGAGAAACATCAATGTGAGAGAGACACATGGATTGGTTGCCTCCCACAGGCTCCGACTGGGGCCAGGGATGGAGCCTACAACCGAGGTAGTATCCTTGATTGGAATAGAACCTGGCACCCTTCAGTCTGCGGGCTGATACTCTATCCACTGCACAAAACTGGCTAGGGCTACATTAATATTTTTAATTTTCAAATCAAAGCTATTGTAATCAGCTTTTAAAATAACAACTCAGTTTTTCAATACAAAATCTGAATGATTAATTTTTACTTTTAAAAAAGGTCCTGAGTCAAACGCACTTGTTTTGACTCGGAGGCCCTTCACAAGGCGCTCGCACCTCAGCCTGACCCTGCGGGGTCATGGGAGGTTTTAGCATCAGCAGCCACAGCACTGAATTACTCCAACTTTCTATTTTTCTCTTGGCCACGTAATAAACCAACGGGATAAAAAACATAACTGCACTTACAGTCATAGCTTTCAAAAATACATAAAATGGCTGATATTTCTAACTCTCCCTCTCCCTTTCTCTCTGATATCAATAAAAATATATTTTTTAAAACATTCATAAAATGGCTACAAAGAAATGGGGAAGGAAAAAAGTAGAGGAATACAAAGAGACTTTATAAAAACCAGTATTTCTAAAACTTGAGCAATTGACTTTAAAGAAAAAAAATCACAGATCCCCCCATATTGACCTAAATTATTTTGTGAATAAACATAAAATTAACATTGCATCTACAGGACTTATAGAACCATATGACCACAACTACAAAACCATCAAGTGTCAATATCACGCACAATTTACTTTGGCAGGTTTTGTTATCCTGTTTAATGTCAATCACCAATGCTGGATTAGTCAGAGGAAAGATGCAGCTCCAGGGCCAGGGCCAAGTCCACTATGCCTTCAGTTATTGTAACACAGAAAATGCCCGCCTGCACACCTATGTTCCACAACACTATGCTGAACACATCAAAGCTTTGTTTCCCAGCTCAAATTCAAGCATACTTCACACTTAAAACAAATGAATGACACAAACAGATTTCAGCCAAATGTTCAATTATTAAACTGTTCTGCTCTTCACAATAGAAGCTGGAAGGCAACATTGCCGAAAATTGCATTATGGGTGTCTATTTTAATTGGTTACAAAAAAAATAATATCTGATATTATACTTTAAATTACAATGATGGAGCAAATTCTATTTTTAGCACAGGTACTTTATGACAAACTGTTCTAAAAACCAGTAACACTGGAAACGGCTCAGGCTGCCATTTTGAAAGCAGCCTGCCCATAGATCTCGTCCTACTGCCAGTATCTTCGAACAGGATTCCTACCCCTTCGTCACCCCTACACTGAGCCAGCAGCATCCGGCCTGGTCAGCCAGGGACGCACTTATGGGTTAGGCTTACCTCTCCTCTTTCCTCATTCACCAAAAGTAGCACATTACTATACTATACTGCACAGTTTTCATGGCAAATCAAAATCTCAATTTAAGTAAACAATTAAAGTCTTAAGCTACGAAAAATCTCTCAATTAAAAATTATTACCACCTAAGAGCTTTGAGTTTAGAGCTCACAAACCAATCCAAAATGAGTGCCATAGGGCACTTTTCATCTCCACATCGGACGTGCCAGTTGCTAGGAGACATACGGTCATCTCTTCATGCTACAAAGCCAATACCGACCTCTTAGGGTAACTAATCTCTTGGAGCCAAAAATAATTTTAAGTTCCAATGCAAACTGAAATGGCCCTGGTCGGTGTGGCTCAGTTGGTTGAACCGATCGTCCCTTGCACTGAGAGGTCACAGGTTCAATTACTGGTCAGGGCACATGCCCGGGTTGCCGGCTCGATCCCCAGTAGGGGGCGTGCAGGAGGCAGCAAATCTAGGTCTCTCTCTCCCTCTTCCTTCCTCTCTCTAAAATTCAATAAAAACATTTTAATAAAGGAAAACAAATAAAACTGAAATGGCATGGTAGTATTAAAGTAGTAAATCAGATCATTCAAGAGGTACCTGTATTACTTTTAAAAAATATATTATCACAAAAAAATGTATATATATTATCACAGCAAAATAAAATAAATTGAAAAGATTTGTAATCAAGATCCTATAGAACCCCCGACTGAGAACATTTAATGAGTTTTTCTTCCTTTCAAGGGCAATACAGATGTGCAATGGTAGTTAATCTAATGCTACATTTGATATTACTGTCTACATTTGTCTTTAAGGATAAAATTTATGAAAAATAAGTTTATGCAAAAAGCTTATATTCCAAAGGAGAAAAGTGGAAGTCTGGATCCTCTCAAGAGTTCCAACTTGAAAGTCAGCCTGCAACATGTCCTAGGTGACCCATTCCTCACCCTACACTGCCTGGAGGTACTTCCTACCTGTCCCTTTGCAGACACCACGAAGGCACTGTCCCTGCAGCCAAGAAATGACAGAAACATTAGCACCGAGCACCTCCCTTCAGGAGCAAAACTAGCGCAGATCTGAGGCACCACGATACCTGAGAAATGTCAAATTTGAACCTCAGGTGAGCTTCAACCTGCACATTTCAGGAAATCAAGATGCAATGTATAAAAGAACTTTGAAAGGTCACAGAGAAGTAAAATACAGGGCTCACAAACCAATCCAAAATGAGTGCCATAGAGCACCTTTCATCTTTACATTGGATATGCCAGTCGTAGGAGACAGATGGTCATCTCTTAAATATCCAGGCATTTAAAACCCATTCTGAAGCATATGCAAATGTAGTGTCATGTGCTTGCACCATCAGCAAACAAGCAAATGTGTTTGGCTAAAATAAGATAAAATGAAAGAATTTTTCAAAATGAATTTATTGGGTGACATTAGTTAATAAAATTATATAAGTTTCAGGGGTACAATTCTATAATACATCATCTGTATAACATATTGGGTGTTCACTAACCAAGTCAAGTCTCCTTCTATCACCACTTATGCCCCCTTTATCCCCTACCTTCCCCCGCCCCT